TAAGGGGCCTCCTAAGCCATTAAGCCTACTCTTCTGCATTCACAGGCAACCATTTATCCAAGGAGGCACCAAAATTGCCACTTGCAACCTTCACATATACAATACCTGCAACACAAGAATGCTGTATAATATTGCCATAGGTAAAAGTATGGAAGATGAGGGCACTATAAATGACTGGCTATTGTAACATCAGGGAAGTTGTTTGTTAATATGTACTCAGAAGATCTTAGGAAAAGGACCATGCCCCACAGGGGAAGGCAACTAGGGGGAAAAAAAACTACACACCTCTTTATCTTGAATATTTGGATCTGCGTTATTTTCCAGTAACACTACCATGCAGTTAATGTAGCCTCCGTATGCAGCACATTGCAAGGGAGTTCTTCCTGCATAATCCTGCACATTCGGGTTGATTTTATTTTCTATCAGTATTTGGCATACATCAGCATTTCCTCCCAAAGCGGCCCAGTGAAGGGGAGAATGGCCATCTTGGTCAACCAAATCTACTCTTGCTCCCCCTGTAAAAAAACCCACAACATTTGAACATTAGAAGTAAAAAAACCAGAAGTCTTGCACATAAGAGGAAGTGGAAAATAAGTTATTTCCAGAATACATATAATAAATTAGAGAAATATTGTAAAAAATTCAGAAGTGTCCACGTGATGTAAGAACTTAAGTCCAATTTTCCAAAAATGGTTGGGGTGCTTAGGAGTTTCAGTAGGAGATGGTCATCTAACTCAGGGGTGTCAAACACATGCCCCATTGCCTGACCCCTCTACAAGGAGGCAAGCACTGTAATAATTAAATTTGTTTTTGAAATGGGGTGCCACTCAATTTACAAAAGTTATGGGGGAGTGTCCTCAGTCTAATGAAGGGTACCTTGAGTCTAAAAAAGTCTAGAGTCAAATTTAATAGGACCCAACAATATAAGCCTACTCTGAACAGAAGGTAAACAGGTTTAATCTAGTCTCATTCACAGGAAAGAGAAAATAAATACTTATTGAGGCTTTGAGAGGCTAAAATGTACTTGGAGAGACTAAGAGGGAGGGACAAATCTTTGTTTCAGGTATATATTTTGTTTTTCTATCCTTACTCTGCACTACATAGCAAACCATCTGCATCTAGAAGTACTGTTCTGTGAGTCATATTCTACATAAATCTCTCTGTTCACACAAAGGCATAACTGGTCTGGACTGCAACCAGGGCATTCCCTCTCCACCCCTCTTGTAAGTTCTTTGCTTTGACTTGGTAGGCACTGGTAGTGGTCAGTGCACAGGAGCAGAAGCTGAGTTTGCTGCTGCTGAGGGAAGATGTCACCTCATTTTTTTTGCCAAAGAAACCAATGCTGAACAGGCAAAAATTCCTTTTTTGGGCACCAAAAATTCTCCCTCCAGAAGCTGTGAAGTCCAGTTGCTGCTGCTCAACAGATCTACATTTCCCAGAATGTCCTTCACTCACTGACACATTCCTTCACTGCTGCTGCTTGTTGCCAGGGCTGGTGCTGAAATTAGCAGGGTGAGTTGAGGATGGGAGGCTGAGGCACCACTGCTTCATTCTTATGCCCCTTCCCCCTGGGACTTGTGCCCCAACTCACACATCCATCCATATGCTACTCTCTACCGCAGAGGTGGGCAAAATGAAAGATTTAGCTAGCAGCCCAACTCCATTTCCCAGCAGCAGGCCCTGCCCACATCACTGCAGCCAGTTTCCATGGAGACCCCAGCAGAGCCATGACAGCATGGGGCTAGGGTTTCCATGGACAACAGCCCCAGCAGCACTGGCAGGGCGTGTGGCCGGGCAGGGAGCTGCTCCACAGCTGGGGCTGGGATCTTGCAGTAGTGATAGCACAGTTTGGAGTCAGGACAGAGTCGCGATCCACTTCCTGCGTGCCTCTGCCCGGGGTATGCAGGTAGTGGATTGCAGCTCTGCTCCGGCTCTGGACCACACTGTCACCATACGACCCCAGTCCCAGAGCAGCTCCCCACCCAGGCACCCTGGCTCTGCGCTGTCATAGCGATGTCACTCCTGGGGTCTCCATGGAAACCGGGCAAAGTGAGGTGGGCAGGGGCTCCTGGGATATGGAGTCCACTGTGGGCCTGATTTGGCTTGTGGGCCAGATTTTGCCTGCCCCTGGTCTACAGTGTTAACTTTGGACCCAGCAACATGAGTTATTTCAGAGCCTAAAAAAAGAAGTCTTTTAATTCTGAATGAGTTTGTAAATTTGTGCCACTTTACCTTCAATAAGTGTCTGTATCACTTCTTTGTGTCCCATTTCACAGGCTCGAAAAAGAGGAGTGTGTTTCATGACATCAGTAGCATCTACCTGTGCGTTATGTTCTAAGAGCAATTTCACAGTGCTGACATGGCCAGAAAGGGCAGCTGCATGTAAGGCTGAAAGAAAAAGGAAGAAAATCAAAATACCCCAGAATGGAGCAGGTCAAAAATAATAATTCTTTTAAATCATGTTGATGAAAAGAACTGCCTTGCAATCATAAAACTGCGAATGGCTAAAATGACACACAATCACTACTTTCCCTTACCACACAAAAAACACAAAATATACATGGTATAACAAAGTAGAATCTCTGATGGACATTTTTAATTCATGAAAACAAAGACTTTAACCTCACCAGAATTAAGAAGGGTTTATACCAGGGGTAGGCAATTATTTAATCCTGGAAAGCTGCTTGATGAGTTTTGGCGAGCTATTGAAGGCCATAAGGGTATCCCCACCCCTTGGCAGTCGTCCTGCCCCCTGGTCACCACCCTGGGACCAGAAGTCCTGCCCCTAACCCCTGACCTTTGCCACTGGAAGTCTCTCCTTACCCAGGAAATTCTTCTTTGGGCAGGGGCTTCCTTGCCCAAAGGAAGCAGGGGCTGAGTCCTGCCCATTCCCACATGGGGCTGCAAATGCTGTGCTCCCAGCCTCCCCCACTGAAGGGCTCCAGCCCTGGCCAGCAGGCACAGCTTGTGTATGGCTGGGTGGAGGAATCCAAGGATGCAGATGGGACGTGAGTTGGGAGATGGGACAGCCCACAGCAGGGGCTTCCTTGCCCAAAGAAAGCAGGGTCTTCCTTGCCCAAATGGGGGGTTATGGGGGTGTATGTGGGCGGTGGTTGAGGGAGTATGTGGTTTGTGTGTGTGTGTGGAGTGGGGTATAGTGGGCATGGGGGGTGTATGTGTGGGATGTGTGTGGGTGTGGAATGTGTGTGGGGGTATGGGGTGTATATGTGGGCATGGTGGCGGTGAGGGGCCATGGGGGAGCATGTGAGAGGGATGTGTGTGTTTGGGGGGGTTGGTGTATGTGTAGGATGTGTCTGGGTGTATGGGTGGGTATGTGGGGGTGTGGGGGAGTGTCGGGGGGTTGGGCATGCACATGTTGGGGGCTTACCCCCCTCCCAGCTTCTCCCCTGCCCACTGCCTGCCAGGCTCACAGTGCACTGCAAAGGGGTGGGAAAGCAGCTGCCACAGGCAGGCAGCAAGGGAAGCCTTCAGGAGAGTGGTGACCACCTCTCTTGGTCTCTGTCCCATGCTTGCCTGGCAAGGCTGCAGCCAAGCCTGCGCTGGCTCCTGCTGCTGCTTCCATCTCATCTGCCTGTCCTGTGCTTGCCCAGCAGAGGTGTAGCCAAGCCCGCTTTGGCTCCTGCTGCTGCTCCCACTCCACCCCACCTCCCTGTCCCATGGCTGCATGATGGGGCTGCAGCAGAACCCATGCTGACTCCTGCTGCTGCTGCTGCTCCCACCCCACCTGCCTATCCTGTGCCAGCCTGGTGGGGCTTTGTGAGCAGCTGGGTTCCTTCACGTCCCATCTGCATCCTTGGGCTCCTCCACCCAGCCATACACAAGCTGTGCCTGCTGGCCAGGGCTGGAGCCCTTCAGTGGGGGAGGCTGGGAGTGCAGCATTTGCTGCCCCACGTGGGAAAGACTCAGCCCCATGCAGAGCACAGCAGGGGCAGCCACTGCCAGGCTGGATACAATTAACTGGTGGGTGTCTGCCTGTGGGCTATATCCAATCAGCTGGTGGGTTGGAACCAGCCCGCAGGCTGTATTTTGCCCACAACACAAACACTTCAGCACAGCCTGAGGCTGTTGGAGGATCTTAAGCTGTCACTGCGTGTATCTACACATGCTAAAGTGACGTAAACTTTGGAGCAGTTCATGCTAGCTAACTTGTCCTGGGTGCAGTGTCTACACATGCACCTGGGACCACAGCAATTAGAGCTGGGGTGGAACAGCCCTGGGCTGGCAGGGTGCACAGGGGTTCAGTCTTAGGCTGAAGGTAGTGGTGTCGGGTAGTGCCAGGCAGGACCTGGGGGTTTGGCCCCCAACTGCCTGGGATAACCGGGTGCAATTTGCACCCGGCAATTACCATCCACAAACGTTTGCTTGCAGTGAATTACTCTGTCATAAGATAGTATTATATTATGGCAGAATTAATTAATTTACTGTACCCTAATAGCAGTGCACATGTGGACAGTGATGCTTTACTGCAGAGCTAATTAGTCAACAGCAGTAAAGCACACATGTACTCACTGGCTTGTAAATAAGTTTGCTATCAGCCACAACTTCATCCCTCTGAAGTTTTCATGTGGACTTCATGAAAAATTATGGAAAATGAAAATTTAGCTAGCTGTGGATTGCTTTTTATGGAGGGTCAGACCTCACAGAGTAATGAGATTCCAAAGATTTAAAGATTTGTTAAAATGGAAAGAACATGTTTTGGAGTTTTACTCAAAATAAAGATTTTAAGTGCTTTGGAGTACTTAATATTTATAAATCCAAATAATTAGTTGAATCATAAAGGAAAATAGTGTCAAATACTAGTTTAGTATAGTTTAATTTTACTAACAAATTACTTCTCTGATGACACAAATTCTGAATGAGTAAGAATGAACATATAAACATGAAATAGGATCACAGTATTGTTGCAACTGTGATGATCTAGGATATTTGTGAGAAGCAAGTTTTGTTCAGTAGCATCTCTATATTTGGAAGAGACATTAGACAAGCTTTTGAGTACAAAATGCCCAGCTACATACTTGGTCCAATCAAATATATTACCAAATCCTCTTTCTTGCATAACAAAAATGCATGTTTGTAAATTGCAGGCATGTTAGATTAAATACATAAACTATATATCTATACATTATACATAATGTATAAGTTTATAATGTGTAAATGAATGTATAAGCTTCAATTGATAGTTCATAAGTTAACTTATAACTTCCTTTACCTAATCCAGCTTTATTTAAAATTTGCTTTATTCAGAGAGTAAAACAATGGGCCTCCAGCAGTGTTTGGGTGTTTCTAATTGCCTCAGGAAAAAAATAGGGAGTGCCAGGCTCTGACTATTCCACAGCAGGTACGTCAGGGACAGATGGTAGAGCACAGGGGAAGAACATGCCCACTTTTTGTGTCCCTGTGGAGGGAGGGCTGCAGTTCTGTACCTTACATTCTTTAATGCTGTTGAAGGAGAGCTTGATGGTATCTGCAATATAAGATATAAGGGCCAGTGCTGAAGGAATTAACTATTGCACACTATTGCAGGTAGCTGTAGTGACCAGTATTTTGAAGTATTATGCCTATTTGTTTGACACAGGTTGAGCGCCTCGTTACCAACAGTGTAATAAGCAGTGGGTAACTGGGGCGCAAGTCCTGGGTGCCCATTTAAGATGAAGTGCAAAAATGGCAGCTGTTGCTGGCCCAGCTACAACTGCTTTTGAAATCAGCCCCTGCCACCCAGGCCACAGACTGTGGCCACTTCACCTCTGCTCCTGGCTTTGTTGCTCATGAGTCCACATTTCTATTCTAAAGGCTGCAATTTGGTTCACAGAGTTTAAAAAGAGCTAGTAAAACAAATCCAGCAAAAGTCTGCTACCTTCATACCTGAAACCATAGTATCAGTCCTCATTTTTCTACAGAACAAGATGCCAGCTCTGATGCACATTTTTGTAACAAAAAAAGATTTTTTAAAAATCATATCAATGCTATCGTGGATAAAAATTACTAAATGGTACAAGAGCTTTTGTACCACTAATGAAAGGAACTCAAAAGTGCTGAAAGCTTCAGTAGGGCTAGGGACAGACATTCAAAAAGCCTGAGCCTGAGCCTGAGCCTGAATTGATTCCATCTGTGCAGGTTAATCTAACCTGGCTAGGCTAAACTGGTTTGTAACTGTACAGACATCCCCTCTGGACTGAAGAAATGCAGAAACATGCCTGCAGTGGCTCAGGTTACAAGCGGGGGAGGGGGGTGCTAGAGCAGCTCTCCCTTCCCTTCCATAGTGCTGACCTAAGGCGGGGTGGTGGCCAGGTCCTGGCATGATGCTCTGATTAGGTAGGGTTTCCCACCCCCTCATTGTTGATAACAGAGCATTGAGTTACACACCAGGGAGTTACACAGGGAGTTGTTAGTATTTATCAGCTCATCAAACAAAAGAAAAGCCTCTCTCATTAGTTCAAGCTCTTCTTAAACAATTTTTTCCAAGGAAGGAATGGGGGGACATTACTAGCTACCTGTTGATGAGCTCCAAAAAGCCCTAAGCCAACACTGTCTTGTCTGCCTCTGTCCTGTCTCCCACAGCATGGACCATAGCCAGCATGTCATATGCTAGTTAATGCTGAGAGGTATCTATGTAAGGCAGAGGGGAGTGGGGAATTCCTGCTTGAGCAGGGAGTTATGAGGGATGGGGTGGGGAGCAGGAAGAAGCCAGTCAGACAACACTGTACCTTCAGTCTCTGCTGGAGCTCCAGCCAGGGAGCAGAGGGGCAGGCCAGCCCTCCTGGGCTAGAGCAGAGAGCGGAGCCCCACCCAGGGTTACAAAGCATCTAGGATGCTGGAGGACTCTGATTTAACTTAAACCAAGAAGAGGTCTGGGACAGACATTGCATAAACCAGTTTGACCCAAATCAGTTCAGTCTGATATTACATTCAACCAGGTTTATCTCAAACCAATTTCAGCCATTTTCAAACTGGTTTATGTACACTGAACATCTATTCTGTTACATGTTTAAATTGGTTTCTGATCACTTAAACTGTTTTATGTGTAATGTCTGTTTCTAATCTAGTAGCTTGGCCAGGTATGGAACTATAAATGATCATTTGACAGTGAAGTCTCTGCTGTATAATACATTTGGACAAGTCTTGTTTTCATATTCTGACCTCAGAAAAAACCTTAGGTTCTGCTTTTCTGTATATTTCTACATATGAAATCTAACACAGTAAACTTTTCAATCAGATGACATATGGGGCATATGTAACAATACAATAGAAAAACAGCTGCTGCGTCAGCTTGGCCTGGTTCTTTCCCTCCATCACTCATTCTGATGTAGGCATCTTGTTTCCCACTCTGTGCTCAGTATTTTCTTGTAAGCCAAATTTTCTGTGATGGA